GGTTATTTACCAGGTTTATCAATGTATTAAGATACGGATCAACGTCACAAGAACACAATATACATCACACTTAGTGGTATTTAATTTTATATCGTTAACTAACGCCACACGCCTGCTGTATGTGAGTGCAAATGTTGTTCGTGATTCGCGACCATTACCTTTGCTGTGAATATTTAATTGCAGATATGGACTGTGATGAGAAAGCAACGTAGAATATATACCAAAGCTTCAGTAAAATTTGACATAATAACTACTCTGTATACAATTAACCATAATTAAGTGGAGATCCAACGATATGCTATCAGTCTTAATGACGAAAGGAATTCCACTATATAAGGTATGTGCAGGATACCAATGTTTTTGTTCCACACAGTAAGGTTAATGTAATCATATACTTGTTACAGGTGATATATCTACATTGCATATTAGTTTTCACTAGACATACAAACTTAAATGTGATTTACATATACTTTATATTCAGCGCTGTCAGTTTTAATATAGCATTCTGTTGAATTGATGTGCAGTTTTTATCATTGAAATTGTTATCCTACCGTGAATACCTCCATTTACATTGTTTACGATAAAATAATTTAAGAAATATTTTTGTTACAATATTTGCAACACGTGACAACTTTAAAGTAAATTATGTACAGTTTGTAAATATGTAGAGTTTAAACCTTGCATGTTAATTCACGACCTTTAAGAAACAATTGTCCATGTGTTCCATTTTTCATTATGAAAATTAGAAACAATATCTGCAGTTTTAATGTTGTACATGTAAATATACCCTTTATAACATCTTAGTATTTACAGCGCAACAAAGTCTATACTTTTGTACAATATACTCATGCATGTATATTGTTTGTATATCTATGCTGTTTGTTATTTGTACAGCACTGTATATGTATAGAAGCGATATTATATACACACTGGTACAACGTACGTTGCATCATATTATTCTTTGTATATAATTTGAACAATGTAAAATGATTATGATACTATTGGGCTGAGTTAGTGATTTCGGTAAATATACTTTTGGACATTACACATTGTGATGTATTTTATGTGTACAGTATAAGTGAAGTAGCTACTATTTTACACTTAACTTAATTTGTACATTGTAATGTATTTGTGCAGTATAAGTGAAGTAGCTACTATTTTACACTGAACATGATTTGTACATTGTATTGTATTTGTGCATGATGAGTGAAGTAGCTACTATTTTACACTGAACATGATTTGTACATTGTATTGTATTTGTGCAGTATGAGTGAAGTAGCTACTATTTTACACTGAACATGATTTGTACATTGCAATGTATTTGTGCAGTATGAGTGAAGTAGCTACTATTTTACACTGAACATGATTTGTACATTGCAATGTATTTGTGCATGATGAGTGAAGTAGCTACTATTTTACACTGAACATGATTTGTACATTGTATTGTATTTGTGCAGTATGAGTGAAGTAGCTACTATTTTACACTGAACATGATTTGTACATTGTATTGTATTTGTGCATGATGAGTGAAGTAGCTACTATTTTACACTGAACATGATTTGTACATTGTATTGTATTTGTGCATGATGAGTGAGATAAATGCTATTCCACACTGTAATTACTTTTACATTATCAACAATTGGTGCAATATGATTGAGGTAAAAACTTTTGTACAATGTACATATTTTTGTAAACATCCAATACAGTACACATTTAAATGTTATAAACCTCCCGTACAATACATATCTAAATGTTTCTATAAACATCCCACACCGTGGATATTTTATGTTTCTTTAAACGTGCCACGCAGTACACATTTAACTACTCCTGTTAAAATCCAACTGAGTACATATCGAAAGGTTGTTTCAAACGTCCCGCACCATATATATTATAATGCTTCTCTATACATCCAACACGGTACGTATCTAAATGTTTCTATAAATATCCCACACAGCACATATTTTAATGTTCCTGTAAAAATCCCATACAGTACATATCTTAATGTTTCTGCTGACATCCAACACAATACATATTTATATGTTTCTGTAAACGTACAACATAGCACATATCATAATGTTTCTGCTAACATCCAACACAATACATAATTATATGTTTCTGTAAACGTACAACATAGCACATATCATAATGTTTCTGCTAACATCCAGCACAGTACATATTTATATGTTTCTGTAAACGTACAACATAGCACATATCATAATGTTTCTGCTAACATCCAGCACAGTACATATTTAAACGTTAATGTAAATATTCCACACAGTACTTATTTATATGTTTCTGTAAATATTCCACACAGTACTTATTTATATGTTTCTGTAAATATCCAACATACTACATATCAAATGTTACTGTAAACGTAAAACACAATAAATCTTTTAATGTTTATGTAAACTTTCAACACGATACATATCTTAATGTTTCTGTAAATATCCCACACAGCACATATTTAAATGTTTCCGTAAACATCCCACACAGTACATATTTAAATGTTTCCGTAAACATCCCACACAGTAGATATTTAAATGTTTCCGTAAACATCCCACACAGTACATATTTAAATGTTTCCGTAAACATCCCACACAGTACATATTTAAATGTTTCCGTAAACATCCCACACAGCACATATTTAAATGTTTCCGTAAACATCCCACACAGTAGATATTTAAATGTTTCCCTAAACATCCCACACAGCACATATTTAAATGTTTCCGTAAACATCCCACACAGTAGATATTTAAATGTTTCCGTAAACATCCCACACAGTAGATATTTAAATGTTTCCGTAAACATCCCACACAGTAGATATTTAAATTTTTCCGTAAACATCCCACACAGCACATATTTAAATGTTTCCGTAAACATCCCACACAGCACATATTTAAATGTTTCCGTAAACATCCCACACAGTACATATTTAAATGTTCCCGTAAACATCCCACACAGTAGATATTTAAATGTTTCCGTAAACATCCCACACAGTAGATATTTAAATGTTTCCGTAAACATCCCACACAGTAGATATTTAAATGTTTTCGTAAACATCCCACACAGTACATATTTAAATGTTTCCGTAAACATCCCACACAGTAGATATTTAAATGTTTCCGTAAACATCCCACACAATAGATATTTAAATGCTACTGTATACGTACAACACAGTACATATTTTAATGTTTCCGTAAACATCCCACACAGTAGATATTTAAATGTTTCCGTAAACATCCCACACAGTAGATATTTAAATGTTTCCGTAAACATCCCACACAGTTGATATTTAAATGTATCCGTAAACATCCCACACAGTAGATATTTAAATGCTACTGTATACGTACAACACAGTACATATTTTAATGTTTCCGTAAACATCCCACACAGCACATATTTAAATGTTTCCGTAAACATCCCACACAGTACATATTTAAATGTTTCCCTAAACATCCCACACAGTACATATTTAAATGTTTCCGTAAACATCCCACACAGTAGATATTTAAATGTTTCCGTAAACATCCCACACAGTAGATATTTAAATGTTTCATATTTAAATGTTTCCGTATCCCACACAGTAGATATTTAAATGTTTCCGTAAACATCCCACACAATAGATATTTAAATGCTACTGTATACGTACAACACAGTACATATTTTAATGTTTCCGTAAACATCCCACACAGTAGATATTTAAATGTTTCCGTAAACATCCCACACAGTAGATATTTAAATGTTTCCGTAAACATCCCACACAGTTGATATTTAAATGTATCCGTAAACATCCCACACAGTAGATATTTAAATGCTACTGTATACGTACAACACAGTACATATTTTAATGTTTCTGTAAACATTCCTTCACAATATATGTTTAAATAACCGATGAATAAAGATACGGACAAAGGGACACCTAAATATACAAACTTACTACAGAAATACATTTCATGATTTATTGATATTGTGACTGATGTTCTCAGATAAGGTTTGTTTTGTCTAATCACCACACAAAGGTTCAAAGATAGATAGAACACACCACACAGAAATCACATGTATTAGCTAGCATGTCAAGGGAAATTTACAACGGCCTCTTTCCTTCCCAATTTAATGTGGTGTCTGATGCGAAATCAATCAGTAATTTCATGTTTGTAGGTAAACAGAATACCTTTAATTATTCAACCTGGCATGGGTAGTAACAACAGCGGTGTATTTGTCGTCTTTGGAGAAAAGCACAATGGCACTGTTACAGTCAGTCTGGCTAAAAAATCATTAAAGTATTGAAGTCACAATAGATTAAAAAATATTAATGAACAACTGGCCCCTGTTTGCTTTGAGCGCCATTAAATCCGTAGCTTCAATCATCTGCCCCAACATACCTTTACCTTTGAACTACTACATATAACTATCATATATCTGCATGGCAAAACCATCAAATATATGTTTTTATGCTGTTTTTTTTATCCAACTGTTCATAGCAACAAATCTTTGTCTTCAGCATAGGCTGATCTAAGAAGTTGGGCTAGTGAATCTCACCATATAAATTTTGATAAGTTCTTTTGACCAGTTTTAATTTCTAAGGTTTAAACTTTCTATATATAGGATGAGAAAGGCAAGAATGTGTTTTTCTTAGCTCTGGAACCTTTCACACATACGTTCATTCTCTTCTTACTCGGTCTATTTGAATCATATTTACATTCCGATGGTGACTTATTGATAAATATCTGACAGCTTATTTCCAGAATCAGGCAAGGATTCTCAAACACCTTTTTCAGTGAATGCATGTATGGTAAGACATATATAGAGAGCTCTTAAATGATCGATACATTCATTCTTTGATCTAGGAAAAGACATTCTTTATCAAAGTTTGTGTATCGCTATAAGATAAAAATTTCATAACCTTACAGAAGCCTGTTTTTTCTAGACATACAACATGTAATATAGGGCACACATGTGGTCTTTTCTTACAGACATGGATAGTGTAAGGTACTATACAGATGAATAATACAAGCTCGGAAACGTCCACTACGCCAGGAGTAGCGCCAAATGACGTCACTTCAGCAGGACTCGCAAACAATGGCGGTAACAGTGGTAAGGATTTTATCTGTTGAATTTTTTTCTAATATTAAAGTAATTATAATGAAAAAATGGGAAAAAATCATATGAAACATATCAATATATATAATTCAGCATCTCTGCTATCATAAAAAAGTTTGTTAATCAGAATTCACGGCGAATTATATCTGACTACGATGAGTATGAAAACGTTTCTGTGACCCTGATAAGGGTAAAGCATTTATGTCACTAAAATTAATAGTGGAGTTCATCAGTGGCCAAGTTGCATAGATGTTTCGCAAATAAAGTGTATAAAATACACAACGTATGTATTGTTTTAGTAATAATCTGGTTTGGACACAGATAAACACAAATATGCTGTATCCCTCCGATATTTTTCTTAAATGTGTATTTTTCTGTATTCTAGGAAGCAGTGGTAACAGCGAGCTCGTCGTCGGCCTATCAATTGGTGGGGTGCTTCTAGCAGCAATTCTGGTATTCTTTGTAGCATATTGCGTCTTCAGGTAAGTTTCCGTCGGTGTTTTTCCTAACTTATCCTTAATATTTTAACGTTTAATTTATCTTATAGGTTAATATTTTCCAACAGGTAAGCTGTGTGCATGCGATGGAAGCTGTTTCATCTTCAATGTTCGTGTGTTTAATGTCAGATACAGCATGTATTGGCTATAATCGATCGACATGTTCGCTGAATTAACAATCAGAAAAGTAAAGACTTCCCTTGGGTTGCATGAAATAATTATACTTTCAACAACGAATTGCAATCAACACTGTGAAGTTAAATAAGGAAACGGTGATCGATTTTAGACAGTTAGAAGGTCAGCAGTATAATCGTTTTAAGAACAAAAGAAATTTCTTATATGGTTACCTCATAGTTACGTACATCTTTGATATTTCAGTCGCCGAAAGAACATTGAAGCGGACAACATCAATGTGCAGAGAATTTCCATGAATAGTGAGAATTTTTCGCATGTGACCAACTTAAAAAAACTAGAACCCCTAGAAAATAGAAATGGAAAAGCAATTCCAAAACGTACAAAACCAACATTGGACGAGAAACGCGAGGCCGGAAAGACTGATGATCTCTCTGATGTTGACCTCTCTCTATTTTCGGGAGAAGGTCAGCTAAACCCAGCCTTTGTCGACGATGAGGAAGTACACCATTCTCACCAGGACGATCGGAAGACATCTGATACCGAGAAAGACGATAACGTGGTGATATTCAAGCTCGAGGGAGTTGTTAAATTCGATATGTCACAAATGGTAGGATTCGATAAGAACCTAGCACTGTCCCTCGAAAGTCAGACTAGTGCTGACTTGCAAAAGATCGTCACCACAAATGGTGACGTAAACAAATATACGGCTTTAGATAAAGATGATTCGGTGAGAAATGGGATTTCTGAGGAAAAGATCGTCACAACGAATGTGGATGATATAAATAACACGCAAAACAAAAGTTCTAGAGACACGAAAAAAGAAGATGTCGATTATAAAACTAACCCATCAAAGGATTCAAAAGATTCAAGTGTTCCTACAAGAACTGTGAATTACGAAACTGTTGAGAGTGTTGATAGAGAATATTTGTCAAAAATGCCACAACATCGTAGTGACACTGTAGACGATGTCCGCCCAGGCACAAGTAAGGGTAATATGTCAACTATCATTTCCTTCGATGAAGATAGTATTCAGGTTATAAGCGAGGACCCACCATCTAGCTCAAAGGATAAACAGGCAGGCAAGCGAAAAGACTCACCTACTAGCTCAAAAGTTTTGACTATTCCAACGCAAATGTCTGAAGTGGTATCAACAGCAAATGAATCCGATAAAACAAACAGATCTCAAGTAAAAGATAGCAGCCATAGTTTCGTTAAGGAAACTTCTCAAGACAGGAGTGTTTCTGTTATAGAAAAGTCTATTGACCTAGAGGATGAGGAATACAAACGAAGGCATAGTGTCCGCGGCAAAGAGGTCACAACCATATTCATCGGTGAAAATACCAAGACAGGCGATAAAAGACGAGGACGTCATGATAAGATAGTGTTCAAATCAAATCCAAAATCTGATAATTCCTCAGGAAAAGGTGATCATAGGAAACGCCATTTAGAAAACGACCCTCCTTTGAAAGCGAAGGATATGAACGTACCTGTTAAAATTGATCCTAGAGAAACAGGGAGAGTGAAAAAGTTCCGACACGATTCTTCGGATAAACCTGTAGAACACAGTAGTCGGTCAGTCCCGATTACAAAATCAAAGAACAATGATATAGGTAAAGGAAAAACCGTGCCCACGAAGCCTCCACTCTCGCGAGAGGCGAGTACTTACGAGATTCCGTGGGATTTGACAGATGTGGGTGCTCTGCTGATGCAAATAAACGATATTGCTGAATCAAAAGAAGTGCGTGTCGATACTGTGTCTGGAGGAGTCGTTTTTAATTCACATTGATTGTTGGTTTTACTTCATGATGTTACGAGAGTGAGATATGGAAGGAAAGAGGGAGACCCACGTTATACACATCATTTCTGTTAACTCGTGTCAGATTTTAGTGTTAATCGAGTATTTCAACTCCAATTGTTTTCACGATCAATGTAATATGTATAAATGTGATTACGATTAATGTTATTGTGTTGTTTAAATATCTGTGAATTGAATATTGATAAGTAAATACATGATACATAAACTCCATACCTCTGACAACACCACACTATTAAAGTTCAAAACTGAATTATTTGTAATAGTATTGCTGATTATCTAATATGACACTGATTTAAAAAAAAATCCTTTTTTCACTTTTCTAAATCGCTTTCGTTTTCTAATCAACTTTAACAAAGGGAGTGATCCCCCTTTACGTAATCAAAACGGCTGCGAATCATTGCCAATGTTTTTGTCACAATGAAATGTTTCCATTGTTGAAATGTTCTCTTTGGTCTCTGTGGACTAACGTTATGCTAATTTTTGCTTTCATTTAATGACTCAATGATATTGTTTGCAACAACGACAATGATTACAAATCATACCACGTGGTCAACCTACCATGAGGAAATAACACAAAAAGTTATAGACGTCGAACAAAACTGTAATTCAAACTCAAAATCGAATAGTATACTAGTATGACACATTGTACTGACGGTTTGTGAAAATGAGAATTACACCAGGTTTTTCGATAGAGTAAGTAAGATAAAATATACCACATCGATAGGAGATCATAATTTCTTAAAACATGATGTAAAGACTCCTGGATAGAATATATAAGATATCCAGCTCACCACGATTAATTAAAACACAATATCGACGATTGTAGACCAAAATATTTCACATAGTCAGCACACAACGATCAATTAAAACACGATTCCGATACTTGTAGATAAAATAATACTATGTAGTTAGGACACAATGATTGACTGAAACACTATATCGACGTTCATGGACACAATATATTACATAGTCAGCACGCGACTATTAACTAAAACACGATTCCGATACTTGTAGATAAAATAATACTATGTAGTTAGGACACAATGATTCACTGAAACACTATATCGACGTTCATGGACACAATATGTTACATAGTCAGCACACGACAATTAACTAAAACACTATATCGAAGTTCATGGACACAATATATTACATAGTCAGCACGTGACTATTAACTAAAACTCTATATCGACGTTCATGGACACAATATATTACATAGTCAGCACACGACTATTAACTAAAACTCTATATCGAAGTTCATGGACACAATATATTACATAGTCAGCACACGACTATTAACTAAAACTCTATATCGACGTTCATGGACACAATATATTACATAGTCAGCACGCGACTATTAACTAAAACTCAATATCGACGTTAATGGACACAATATATTACATAGTCAGCACACGACTATTAACTAAAACTCAATATCGACGTTCATGGACACAATATATTACATAGTCAGCACGCGACTATTAACTAAAACTCAATATCGACGTTAATGGACACAATATATTACATAGTAAGCACACGACAATTAACTAAAACACTATATCGACGTTCATGGACACAATATGTTACATAGTCAGCACACGACTATTAACTAAAACACGATTCCGATACTTGTAGATAAAATAATACTATGTAGTTAGGACACAATGATTCACTGAAACACTATATCGACGTTCATGGACACAATATATTACATAGTCAGCACACGACAATTAACTAAAACACGATTCCGATACTTGTAGATAAAATAATACTATGTAGTTAGGACACAATGATTCACTGAAACACTATATCGACGTTCATGGACACAATATATTACATAGTCAGCAACGACTATTAACTAAGACTCGATATCGACGTTCATGGACACAATATATTACATAGTCAGCACGCGACTATTAACTAAAACTCAATATCGACGTTCATGGACACAATATATTACATAGTCAGCACACGACTATTAACTAAAACACTATATCGACGTTCATGGACACAATATATTACATAGTCAGCACACGACTATTAACTAGAAAAGTAGAAAAAATGTGCAACATAACATTGAATCAGGGGGTTAGATCTAGTATTTTTGGCGGATATGATCTCGTTCACCAGATAGAGTTTTATTAATTCATTATGTCTCCCTTTCTGTACGGCGAAGTAGGTCTTCAGTTATATCACTCCCTCGCTTCACCCAAGGTCACTTGAATACGACCTTGTCACATTACACTGACAACTCCCGTAGTTAAGCTTGCTGCTTTAAAGCGGAATATGACAGCAAGAGAATTGATAGGCTCTAAACAAGATCTTTCATCAAGTTAACGAAACGGAAAGGTAAAAGAAAGTCTCTGCTTTGTTATATTAAACAAATACATTTTTATAAGGAAAACGTTAGAAATGTACTTTATGCTACAACGGGTGCAGGATATATATTTCTGTATTTATTGACATACAAAATTACTCTGTTGGTTGTTCTGAATTAATTCCATGTACATATCGTAGGTTTTAGGTAGTAAGTGGTTTCCCTGTTGGTGAACAGCATTGTGTTAGACCTAGATCAGTTTGTATGTAACTATGGTGTTCTCTGAATTATCACACGTATATATTCTCAGAGGAACTATTAAATTCAATTGCAACCTCTTCTATTTTATTGATATAATATTCTAATTTGAAGGTATGTTTTACTGTGTTTGTTTGTAGTATTTATCGGACACTCTTGGTGAGAAATAAAGATGTATAGCAGTTACAACTGTACACTGACTAGACCAGTATCTATATGTCCAAGGGCTTTAATGCATGCATACGAGAGAGGCTAGGAAAGACGTATTCAACCGTGACGTGTACATGTTTACGTAAGGCTTTACAAGTTAGGGTAGGCGAGGACAGCACTGAATTAGAAGTCTCCAAATACATATACTGTTTGACATTTTTGATAGAATCGTGTTCAGAATGTGAATGAATCCTAAACCATTTTATTCAGCATATAGATTTCGTGGTTTAGTTATATAACCATCCTTGATGATATATGTATATATGTGTGTAGAGTCAGGTTTCTGCCATATCCGAACCCTCTCTTGAAGCAGTGTAGTCCGTTTTTGCTCCGACACACAAAATCTAGCTTTAAAACGTTGACGGGCCGATCACTGGCGTGGAGCTACAACGTGTTTTTAACCGGATGTAAGAACTTCTATAACACCATTTGGTGTCGAAAACTTTGGGGTTGTAGATAAAAGTTAAAAACAAATACGTGGTGACATTATGAAAATAGCTGAAGTAATAAAATCAGTCTTCTTTAATTTCGGATCAAGGGTATCTCCTTTCATGGAATGAAAAGTTTGACCACGACGACGACGACGACGACGACGACGACGATGAAGAACAATATTTTCAGAACTTTGTATAGAAAGTACAACTACAACACATATGTAAAACATACTAATCATAGTGGTGGTCGAGAGTACATATAGAGTTGAAATGAAACCAGTGTAAACTGAATTGCTTAAGTTCACACCACAGAATATACGTGACTGAAGGTTCAAATACTTGAGCAAATATCGTCTATTGACTTTACAAATGTAAATATAAGCAGACCGAAAATCTCCAGTTGGAGTCTTGGTGTCATTATCACGTATGTAAGTTTATTTATTCAATGACTGTTAAAGGATCAAACGCTAAGAAAATGCTGAGAAAATACCACATTAAAATTTTGATATAAAACACAATAATTAAATCAAACCAATGCCGAATTGACAAATTACTGTCTGCAATTCCACTCATTTCAAAGAAAAACAGGGTTTTTTTTTCAGTTAATTTAATTATGAAAACTGTGTAGTACATAGTAATATGAAAGGTCAGTGGATATTGCGTTTACTCGATCAAGTATGACGTCACTTGCCTAATCACCTTGGTTTTCCCTGAATATATTAATTTCTGGTTAACATCTTCGTCGACTTTGGTGGTAAGATCTTCCAACAGATTATTGGCATACATATGGGAACCAACTGCTCCCCTCAGTTGGCTGACTTGTTATTGTTTTCATACGAAGCTGAATTTATTGTAGTGCTTATCAAAACAGATAACAAAGACCTTGCAAATTCGTTTGTATTGATGACGTCTTGTTTTTAAATAACAAGAAATTTATTGACTACGTTCATCGTATAACCACCAGAACTGGAAATAAAAGATACGACAGACTTTTTTGTTTTTACAAAAGCTGCTTATCTCGATCTTTTCATACAGCGAAACCAGCATGGGCAGCTTTTAATCAAGCTGGATGATAAACTTGATGATTTCAATTTCCCTACTGTGAACTTTCCATTTCTGGATAGCAATATCCCTGCACCTCCGACCTAAGATATTAACATGCCACAGCTGATTCGATATTCAAGGGCCTGTTCCCATTAACACGATTTTCGTGCAAGACTTCATCAACTGACTGACAAACTCGCAACACAAGGGTTCAAAAGATGCAGGTAGATGTAGATTATGGAAAGGTTTTCTAGCCGCCATAGTGATCTTCTTTTTGTGACATGAAGCTGAACGTATGTGATGCTCTTTATTTTGCCTTGTTGGTTCCGTTGTTGTATACCTTGTTCTTTTTTGAGAAAGTGACATTACTTACTTGGATTGACCAAGATTTACATAGCGGGTATCGTCGTCGATAAAGCAGAAGACGCTTAATCTTCCAGAACATCTGGTCTTATTTTACTTGTACTTTGACAAGAGTCACTTTCTTTTGTTCGTATTTTGCCCTTATTGCCCTAATGTGTGTGTTTCATCATGTATATACTTCACTTCAGCATAATGGACACTTACGAGACAAGCGATCATTTAAGTATATAATGTTACCGATATATCTCTTTGACAACTTTTACAGATTTAATGTTTTAATGTACCCCTGAGACAAAGACTTGGAGTACACAAGATCCTGACTAGGGAAGCGGTATGACAATGAA